CTCCCATTCATTCATTCATTCAACATATTTATGTAGCCCCTCCACCAGGCACTGTGCTAGCACTGAAGGCACAGTGGAGAAGAAGGGGATACAGCAGTGAGCAAGACAGACACAGTTACTGCCCTTGTGGACCTTACAGTCTAGTGAAGGAGCTAGGCCAAAAAGAAGAGTTATTTACAAATTATATTAAGTGTAATGAAGGAAATAAGCAGCATGCTGAGTTAGGGATATTTAAGCTCAGACCTGAAGAATGAGGAAGCAGCCTTCTGTGTGTGTGTGTGGGAGGCTAGCATTGGAAGAGAGAAGAGAATGCCAGGAGAGGCACATGCTTCCTGAGGCCAGAAGGAACTTGGAGTGTTTAGGAACCAGAAGGTACCAAAGGTGCCTGGAGCATGGTGGGGTTTGGGGTCAAAGGTAAAGGGGGTGAGGTAGACAGGGGCAGATGATGGGAGGCCTTGTGGACCCTAACAAAGAGTATAAGGGGTATTTAGGCTTCTTATAACGAATCGGTCTTTCAAAATTGCATTTTGTGGTAGCTTTAATGTAAATCTTCAGGGGCTGTCTGTACATTGTGGGTCTGAGGGAATGAATTTACCAGTGGTTTTATATTCCAAAAAAGAACCAGTATGATATCATCATCCAATTGTGTGACCACCACAGAATGGAATCAGAATTCATAGTCCTGGAGAAATCCCCATGCCCATTAATGAGCTGTGCTCCTCAATGATAAGACATGGGACACACACAGCCTTTCCAACTAAAGGGCCATGTCAGTGTGAGGATTGAGTTTAGATCTGAGACGGCACTTTTGTTATGAGAGTCTTGTTACACAGCAGAAAGGCTGGGAGGTTTGAAGGACAGGGAGGGATGTACATGCAAAAGCTTCCGGGGGAAGGTTTGGACGTGGTGCTAGAGAGTGTCTAAGGATGGAGAAGTGTGATGGAGGGTGTGAGAACATGCATACGTGTCCATAAGGGAGGGAAAGACCTGAAATAGTATATACTGGAAGGAGCAGTGTGAAAGTGATGAAGACACGAAGAAGGGGCAGACTGCAGCAGGCATGGGCGGTGGCTGGGCCCCTGGGTTTTGTAGCCCTAGACTCATGCTATGGAATGAGTCGTGCAAGGAGGAGGAGTCTTCTCCTCTGGCCTGTACTCAGTATGCTGAAGTCATTTTCCTTGATACTCTAAGGTTAATCAGATCCTAAGAAGTGCTCTGCTTGTCACGAACTGGCTATAATTATGTCTCCCTTTCTTGTTTCGACAGCTGTAAAATACATATTAATATTAAGAGAAACCCTACCAACTGAGTTTACTGCCTTGATTCCCCAACAATAAAGATCCACCTTCCAACTCAAACATAATTAAGCTTGGCCCGTGTTCTGGCTTTGGCAGTGTTACTGTTTGCAGTTTACACGCTATGTTCTTGGTTCCCTTCCGTTGGAGTTTATTTTATTCCCTCTGCCTGTTTCTGATAAGCCAGTCTGACTGGTTGGACTTTGTGTGTAAATGTTGAAAAGGAACATTTTGTGTGCTTGCATGTTCTTTCAGAGAAGCAATCAGAAAAGAGTAGACTGGAGTCCTAGTCTGCAGCTGGCAGACTGAGCAGACAAGATTCTTGGCCTTCTCTTTCCCTAGGCTACAGAATATGCCAGGTCGTCAGCAGTGCCCCTTCTCCCCAACACAGATCAGAGGAGATAGACACGCAGTTTCCAGCTGCAGTATCGAGCCAGCCCGGGGGGTGTTTTGTGCGAGTCTCAGCCTATCGATAGCCAGTGTTGCGGCTGGACCACTGCTTATGGTTCTTATTATGATTGCAAGATGCCTTTGAGCAATAACCATCAGGAAACTTTGAAAAAATGAAGGTTTATTACTTATAAGACCTGGAATTACATTAGCACATCTGGGGCCACACAAGAGGTCACAGGTAGGGGGAGAGAGAGAGAGAACAGGCCTGGGGTTCTGCTTTTATTGGGGTCGAGAGTGGGGCCTAGGGTTTCGTGGGCTCACTCTTTATTGGTGAGTTTAAAACATAGGAGTGGGGGGCTGGCCCTGTGGCTTAGCGGTTAAGTGCGCGTGCTCTGCTACTGGTGGCCCGGGTTCAGATCCCGTGGGCGCACCAACGCACCGCTACTCTGGCCATGCTGAGGCCACGTCCCACATACAGCAACTAGAAGGATGTGTAGCTATGACATACAACTATCCACTGGGACTTTGGGGGGGAAAATAAATAAATAAATAAATAAAATTAAAACATATGAGTGGGAATTTAAGCAGGAAGAGAAAAAAGTAGCCCAAGTGGTCAGTTATTGAAATCAACCAAGATCTCTGAAACAAAGGAGTCTCAGCTCTTTATCTAGTCATGTGGCTGGCAATGCGTTTGAGATAGCCGTCTTTGAAGTGGATGCCTCGGCAATCAAAGCTTAAGTCAGGTACTTGCATTCCAAAAAAGAAAACAATAATAAAACTGTCAGGGCTGACACTACAGTGGGATAAGTTCTCTTCTCCCTGCACCATGAGTTTTGTACCAGAAAATGCTTCAGCCTGCCCCCAGGGAGCCTCAACGGGAGAGAGAGTGCCTGTATACACAGCCTAAGACCTAGAGCCAGAGAGAAAGCCTGATTTGTAGGGTGGCAGGCCCAATATTCACTTCCCTGACCCGTTTCAAATTCATCTGATAAATAGGTGAAGAAATGCAGACTTGAGGGGAAGCTCTCCCTTGCGTGACTTTGCAGGTAAATAGGGTATTTGAAGTAGGCAGGTGCGTGACTTGTCTGACAGGTTTAGGGTTGTTAGTGGCTTAGGACTCCTGAGAATTCCTTCAGCTTTTTCACACTACTATCAATGGTTCCTAATTAGTTTTGATAATATGTCTGGAGCAGGCCATAAAAATGGCTGTTTTAATCAGCTGTTGACATGCAAGGTCAGGCTGCAGCCTTCACCAGTGGCACCTGGGACATCAACAACTGACAAATCAGAAAGGGTGGGAGGAGAGACAGCACTCCTAATGGCACTGTTTGTTGTCTCTGCCCGAGGTGGGCCTGGGACTCAGGCAGGTAGAGGGGCTCAGTTAACCAAAAGGACAGTGCTAATTTTGATATGTGGACTTTTTTTTTTTTTTTTGAGGAAGATAGGCCCTGCGCTAACATCTGTTGCCAATCTTCCTTTTTTTTTTTTTTTCTTTTTTCTCCCCAAAGCCCCAATACATAGTTGTGTATCATAGTTGTAGAGTTGTAGCTCTTCTATATGGAACACCGCCACAGCATGGCTTGATGAGCAGTGAGTAGGTCTGTGCCCGGGATCCGAACTGGGGGACCCTGGGCCACCGCCAAAGTGGAGCACCCGAACTTAACCGCTACGCCATCTGGCCGGCCCCAATAGGTGGACATTTTTTATTATCGTTACATTAAATTATTATTATTTTGCCCTCCCTTGAGAGATATAGACCTGGGTGCTTTAGGTTCAGTCTTTGTGTTTGGAGTCCTATTGTTAAAATGTACAGCCATAGCCTCATTCTGTGTGGTTTTAGGAATCGATATAGGCAGAACTGGACACTCAATAGAACTTCAAGAAATTTCTCCTGAAATGATCAGTGAGGAAGATAGGTTTGTCTCTACAGGGCTCTGAAACCAACAGAATGATGATGATGAACTTACTCAGACCTTCTACTTTAGAGTTAGGCCAGACCAGAAATAGCACTAGGTTTGCATCATTTATATGTTTGGGTACCTGATGAGAACTTGGCCCTGTTGAATAAATATAACTGAGACAAGTTGAAGAGGTGGGGCCAAAGAAGTAAAAGACTTATTTCCCTACTTTGAGGAGTTTACAGTCCAGTATAGGTGAGGACACAGGATCTAAAAAGGCATCTTATCCAGCCAGACAAAACTAATTACATGCAGTCCCACGATGACTTGCTAAGTGGAGTTGTGTGTATTGGTCTGTCGGCCAGTGAGTCCACTTGGGGCTATTGGCAGAGTCTGCTCCCTTGGGGCCAGCCTGTGGCTTTTTAGCATTTGTAAGATGGCGTTGCTTCTCAAGGCAAGAGCTATTGATTACAGATCACAATTTTTGACTTTGCTGTTTCTTTCCTGTCCTGGTTTTCTGGGCCCTGAAACAGTACCTAGTATGTTGATACTGATGCATATGATACCACAGATGCCTTAAAGTGTACCAGGTGCCAGACTTGGGCCTTGTAAAACCAAGTACTTTCCATGGTGTACTTTCAATGACTGTGATTCTCCCTTTATAGAGTTGTCTTTGTTTATGGTAAATAAAATGTCCAAGATTCTTCTGAGTAGCTTACAGCAAGCCATGGGTTACTTTCCATATACTCTTTCCCTGTGTTGTGAGTACTGGGTCACATTCACCCCAGATGGGGAGAAAATGACAAATTATTTGAGAAAACAAGTTTTTAGCTGAATTTCTTAAGCAAAGAGGAAGGGCTAAATAGAAGAGAGGAAGAGGAGGGAGAAGTGGGGAACAGGTAGGATGAACAAGTCATCCTACCTTGAAATTGAACCGCGAGGTCAGGAGGGTTAGCTAGTGTGTGTTCTACTTCTGGGGAAGGATAAGGGGTCTGCTGCTAAGGAAGACCCCATTGCCAGGAATGGCATTTCCCCCACTTTGAGAAAAGCATGTTCTCTTCTAATGTGGTTGATAAATTGCTTTTACGTGCTCTGTGCCAGCCTTTTCTTGGTGGTACCAAATACATCTTGGTGGATTTGGCCTTCGAGGTCTAAAGCTAAACTTGCTAAGAGAGCTTAAGTTCAGCCCTGCTCTCTGGTAACCTGAGCAAGTTGTTACTCACTTCCCCATCCACTGCTGGAGCTCTGGAGGGCTGCAGAGCATGCCTAGATCCCAGATTAGGCAGATGAGCCAGAGGACGGTCAGTCTTGCGGTCTTACCTTGCACAGAATCCTGGATCAAGCACACCCGTTTGTGGACCTGGTTTCCTGTAATCACTTTCCCTTTCTCTCCTCACCTCCTTTTGAACTGCAGACTCTGGCCTGGTCGTCCCAAGCGTTTCCTATGAGCTGCATAAAAAGCTGTTGTCTGTTGCGGAGAAGCATGGGTTGACTCTAGAGCGGAGACTAGAGATGACGGGCGTGTGTGCCAGTCAGATGGCACTGACCCTGCTTGGAGGACCCAACAGGTAAATGCCTCTGGACTGGCGGGGCTGAGTGTGGGGTAATGCTGCTCTGCCAAGGCACCACCACAGTGCCTCACACACAGCGAGTTCGTCCGACAGTTCCTGCTCGTCACTTTCTTGGATGCTGCAAGGTTTTTGTTTGCCCCTCTTGCCCATCTCCTGGAAGGCCTTATTCTTCTTCCAGCAAGCTGCCCTTTGACCCTTTCTTTCCTGGTAACAGCTGTCTGACTTTGAGACTCCTGCTGACTACCAGAGGCCTGCCTTCAAAGAAGCTTCTCAGAGACCCAGCTTTTGGCACTCGTCATTCACTCAAAGGGGCTGGAATACAAATCAACCCTGAGTTCCATACCAGAGCACTTCTGCAACCACCCTGACAGCTGGGTGGGAGAGCTGGAGTTTGGCACCTTCCCCTTTGCCCCTTGGGCTCATCTATCAGGAACAGTACTTAATTTTAGTTGTGGACATTTACTGATGCCATGTACCAGACCTTGTGCTAGCACAAGCGTTACAAAGAAGAATAAAATCCTGCTCCTGCCCTCCAGTAGCCTGGTGAGGTCTCTAGAAAGTACAGTGCTGGGGTGGAGGAAACAAGGTTCTCCAGGAAGCCACATTTCTACTTCGTGCTGGAGAAGCCAGTCACCCTTCCTAGAACAGTGGCATCCAAGCTAAGTCCTGCAGAACAAGGGAGAATTAACAGCGGCAAGCAGGAAGGGGGAAAAGTAGTCTAGGTCTCGAGAGTAGCATGTGCCAAGGGCAGAGAGAATTGAGAGCCCATGGGAAGTGGTAGGGATCCATAAGTCATTCTGTGTGGCTAGAAAGTAGGGCTTTAGTACAGCTGAGCAGTAGGCAGCTGCTCAAAGGATTTCAATAGGGCAGTGAAATGACTAGTTTTGTGTTTTAAAAAGATGGCTTGGCTGAATAGATTGAGTGGAAGCAAGACTGAGGGTGGTGAGACTAGTTAGAAAACTGAGCCAGAGGCCAGATGATGGTGGCCCCAACCAAGGAAGTAGGGATCAGAGAAGTAGATAGATGAGGGATTTTTTTTAAGTAAAATCAACAGGGCAGGGTAACTGGATGTGAGAAGTGGTAGAAAGTGGAGTATTGGTGATCACCGACTTCAGGCTTTCTAGCCTGGATACCTGGCGGGTAGTGAGAACGTTCCCTGGGATGGGGAACATGGGAAGAGGAGCATGTTTGAGGGAGATGGAGGATTTTGTTTTGGATATGTTGAGATATATCCTGTGAGATATCCACATAGACCATTAACAGTCTGGATCTGAAGTTTAGGAAAAGATCTGAGCAAAAGATAGAGATCTGGAAGTCATTAGCTTGTAGATGGTGTAAGAATAGATGAGATCCTCTCAGGAGGGTTAGAGATGAAGAGCCTTCCGGAATGGCTGAGAAAGAAAGCCAGAGAGGTAAGAAAACTAAGAGGGGTAGTGTTTAAGAACCAAAGGAACAGTGTTTGAAGAATACAGGAATGGTCTCCAGTGGTACTGCTGAGAGATCAGGCAAAATTAGAGTTGAGAGTATCTGCTGGATTTCTCAGTGTAGAGGAGGATGTTGGCAACCTCATGGCAGAGTGGTGTCTAAAGTGATCCAAGCTGGCTGTGAGATTTCCTCTCCTTGCCCCTCCACTCCCCTCGCCCTGTAGAGTTGCAGGGGTGTTCATTCCTCCTTGTCCCTTGATTTAGGTGTGCTTGCCAACCAGGCTGGATCCCTGGCCTCTCCTGTGCCAGGGAAGAGCCAGTGGAGACCCCCAAAGGAGCGAGTAGTGCAGGCTGCCTCTGAAGGAGCATCAGGTCTTCAGGCTGGTGACTGCTGCACCTCCTCCCAGAACAGCCACTGGGGCAGTTCCGGGAATAAGCTCTTCCCAGGAGTATTTGAGGCCATCAGAGTGGCTTCCCAGAAACAGCAGTTTGGGGGCAGGGTCTGAATGTCCTCACCAAGTCACATTCCTCTCTAGCTAGCTTCTTGGGGCTGGCTGTCCTTGCACCTGTCTTTTCTCTGTGTCTGAACTCTCAGAAGGGCCATCTTCTGTCCTTTGCAGCAGCTGCTAGTTTTCCTTTGAGAAAGATTGGCACAGTTAGTAGTCAGTTTCATGTATGTCAAGTACCATGCAGTTTCTGACTGTGCTTGTGCAGCAGCATTTAATTTGATCTTCATAACTTCACCTCGAAGGTAAATAGTAGCTCGGTGTTTTAAGATGAGCAAGCTAAGGCTCAGAGAGCTGAAAAACTTGCCCTGCGTGACATTGCTGGTCTCCCATCCAGATAGGTCTGTTTCCAGCGCCTGTACTCTGCCCCCTGCTGTTGGGTATGTGGGTGCCATGGTCTGCTTTGAGTCCTCTGATGGTGGATGCCTCTGTGAGAGGGGGAATCCATTAGGTGAGACAGACTCCAGAACTCTGCAGTATCTGTTAGAAGGGAGAAGTACTCATCGTATTTCTTTAAAATGCAAATATAGTGGGGGAAATGAATGGTTTGGTGTATTTGTAGAGTACTTTGCTAAATTCCCCCAAATTTACTGGGAGGGCGGAGATTTCCTCTCTGGCTCCACAGCATCTGTCATCTTCCTTCTTTTGGGAGACGGTAAGTGACTATGCCTGCTCCTCTCCTAAGCAGGGACCGAAGCCTGTTTCTTCCTGTCGTCTTCCCCTACCTTCCTGCCCTGGGGGCAGACTGTACTGCCTGTGAGTTGGGCATAGCTCCAGGGCTAATCCTCCAAACCTACTTGTGGCTTCTCTGAGACCAGAAGGGTCTCAACGTTAAATGGCAGGAAGCTGGAAGTGACTACTTCATCAGAAAGTGGGTATCCAAGGCAGTTGCCAGACTAGGAGGCTGGGAAATCCCTAGCCTGCTGCTTCCCCTGTGACCAGTACTATAAGGATGCCAGCATCGATTGAGCACTTTCTGTGTGTGGGGCCCTGTTCTGAGTGCTGTACGTCCATTAATCCACACAGCATCCTATGAAATAGGTACTATTAGTATCTGCAGCGTTGTTCTTATTAGCTTACTGGCAGCTCAGTAGAGAGAACTTGGACTGGCAACTGATTGAGGATGATTTACAACTATCCTGTTTGGTACTTGCTGAGTTTCTTAGAAATTGAGCCAGAGTAATCCTAGAAGAGGTGAGCCTTGAGCTGGATCTCAAAGAAGAGGTGGGTCAGAGTTTGAAAAGTGAAGGGCTTTCTGGGCAGGGGACATAGTTTGAGCAGAAGTAAGAAAGAGTCTTCCAAGTGCAGGAGAATGATGAGACCAGCCTTGCTGCAGTAGAGCAGGCATGCTGGGGAAGGAGAGCAGAGAAGACTGCAGAGGTGGAAAAGCCTCTCTGCTAAGGAGAGTTTGGACGTAATAGGTCACACAGTGAGAACAGTAAGTGTTCTTAGTCAGAAAGCAGTGTTGTAGCAACAGTGTTACATGGAACAAGATCTGGGTGAATTACCCAGTGAGAGGCTCCAGCAGATGAAGTGACACTGGAGTGTGAGACAATGGGAACGCCACCCTGTAGACCAGGCCTGCAGTATATTTTGGCCCCCTCTGCAACCTGGGACTATCAAGAACTCTGGGAGTAACAGGTGCCAAGAGACACTTGTCTGGTATAAGGTACAAGGGATTGGCAAGTGTGCAGCTGATAACGCTACTTTACTTTCTGTTACAGGTTGAATCCCAAAAATGTTCACCAGAGGCCTACAGTGGCCCTGCTATGTGGGCCCCACGTGAAGGGGGCTCAAGGTATCAGCTGTGGAAGGCACCTAGCCAACCATGATGTCCAGGTCATCCTCTTCCTGCCCAACTTTGTCAAGATGCTGGAGTCCATCACCAATGAGCTGTCTCTCTTCAGCAAGACCCAAGGCCAACAAGTGTCTAGCCTCAAAGGTGAGCACTTGCACAGGACTGGGCTGAGGCCTCCTTCTGCCTTGGTAGTTTGCTGGTTTAGTGCTGCCGCCCAGTGGCAACAGGTAGAAAAGCACCACAAATGTAAAGAGTGCTTTGCCTGCAAGGAGTCTTAGTGGATAAGGGAAATACCTTTGGTGTTGACTTGCCTACTTCCCATCCCTTCACCCTTCTCCCTCTCGCACTACTCAGATGGAGAGCTGGGGACCCATTTATTCATTTCACAAATATTTACGGAACAGGCACTGTTCCTGACACTGGAATATGGCAGTAGATATATATATTTTTTAAATGCATTCTTCCCTGGAGCTTACATTCTGGTTAGGACAGACAAAGTGACAAATAAGTAGCATTTCTATTAGGTCAGATAGTATAAGTGTTATGAAGACAAATAAAGCAGGGAAGGAAGATAGAGAATGTTGGAGGGTTGGGTGGGGAGTAGCTGACTTAGACATTTCAGGGTCAGGTCGTAAAGGGCCAGTGGGTTACTGTAAGGGTTTGAACTGTTACTCTGGGTGAGATGGAGAGTCACTGGAGAAGTAAGTAAAAGAAAGATATAATCTAACTCAGGTTCCAAATGATCGTTCCAGCTGCCATTTGAGAATAGAGTATGAGCTTACAAAGAGAAGTGTTAAGAGGCTATTGTGACAAATTGGAGAGAGAAATGATGGTGGCTAAGACAGAGTGGTAGTGGTGGAGGTGGTGAAAGGTGGCTAGTTTTTGAATCAATTTTGAAGATAGAGTCTATGGATTGAATGTAGGGGATGAGAGAAAGAGAAGAGTTGAGCTGGCCCAGTGGCGTAGTGGTTAAGTTCGCATGCTCCACTTCGGCAGCCCAGGGTTCGCAGGTTCGGATCCTGGGCACGGACCTACGCACCACTCATCAAGCCATGCTGAGGTGGCATCCCACATAGAGCAACTAGAAGGATGTGCAACTGTGACATACAACTATCTACTGGGGCTTTGGGGAGAAAAAAGGAAAAAAGGAGGAAGAGTGGCAACAGATGTTAGCTCAGGGCCAATCGTCCTCAAAAAAAAAAAAAGAAGAAGGGTTAAGAATGATTCCAAGGTTTTTGGCCTGAGTAACTGGAAGGATGGAGGTACCATCACTGAGAGGGGAAGACTTGGGGGAGGAAGAGCAGAAGCTCAGTTACAGATGCCTGTTGGATATGCAGGTGGCAATGTTGGTTGATATAGATGAGTCTGGAGTTCAGTGAAGGGATCCAGTCTGGACTTACAAGTGTGTGGGTGGTATTTAAAGCCATAATAAGCCTGGATAAGATATCTCCTAGAGGGCCGGCCCCGTGGCTTAGTGGTTAAGTGCTCTGCTGCTGGTGGCCCGGGTTCGGATCCTGGCCCGGGTTCGGATCCCGGGCGCCCACCGACGCACCGCTTCTCCGGCCGTGCTGAGGCCGCGTCCCACATACAGCAACTAGAAGGATGTGCAGCTATGATATACAACTATCTACTGTGGCTTTGGGGGGAAAAAATAAATAAATAAAATCTTTAAAAAAAAAGATATCTCCTAGAAAGAGAGAGTAGATGAAGTTGTAGACTGAGTTCTTTGTTTAGAAGTCAGGGAGTTGAGAGACTAGCTAAGGAGATGGAAGGAGTGGTCAGTGAAGGAGAAGGAAAACCAGGAGAGTCTTGTACCTTTAAGACAAGTGAAGAGAAAAAGGTGTGATCAGCTTTGTCAGCAAGCCAGTCTAGGTTAAGTTCAAATGAAGATTAAGAATCGGCCTCTGGGTTTAGCAGTGCGGAAGCCTCTGATGATCTTGACAAGAGCAGTTTCAAGTGGAGTGGTGGGGGCAACGTCTGATTGGAGTGAGTTTAAGTGAAAATGGGGGAGAATTGGAGAGAGCAAATACGGCCCAAAGAAAGGGTCTTGCCAGCAGTCAGATGGCAAGTTGGGGCTAGAGCCAGGGCCAGAACCTCAGTCTCCTCTCAGGCCAGGCTCCTGTAGGCACACAGAAGATAAGACGCCACTCTCACTCTTGAGAGCCTCGTGGCCCGCGGGGATCCCCCCTTGGTGGCTTGTTCTGAGTAAGGAAGCTGTGAGTCTCTAATTGAGAAATATCATTATTTTAGGCTGCGAGCTGGGAAGGGGGCCTGGTGTGGGTTCCAGGCGGTTCTTCCTCTGGCCGCCCAAAAGGCTTCTTATCTCACCTGCTCCAGGATGCAAGTCTGACGATGCCGACCCTTGAGTTTGGTCTGATTTCTGTTCCTGTCAGTTCTCTTAGGCTGGTCAAGACTTATGTACTTGTTGAAAAATCTGTTCTTATACTGTCCCAGAGGCCTGGTTAGAGCAGAGAAGCCTCTTTTTTTTTTTTTTTTTTTTGGTAAGGAAGATTCGCCCTTAGCTAACATCTGTTGTCAATCTTCCTTTATTTTGTATGTGGGCCGCTACCACAGCATGGCCAGTGATGAGTGGTGTAGGTTTGGTAAGGAAGATTCGCCCTTAGCTAACATCTGTTGTCAATCTTCCTCTTTTATGCTTGAGGAAGATTAGCCCTGAGCTGACATCCGTGCCAGTCTTCCTCACTTTGAATGTGAGTCACCTCCTCAGCATGGCTGATGAGTGGTGTAGGTCCACACCCAGGATCCGAACCTGCGGCCCCGGGTGTCTGAAGCAGAGCGTGCCGAACTTAACCACCATGACCCCCAGAGAAGCCTTTTTAAATGCCTGGGAAAAGTGATAGGTTCCCTCCCCATTCTTAAGGTTGGGCTGCAAGGAGGACCCATTCCCATGGGATAGTAGAGCGGCCGGTGAGACCAGGTGGGCTTGAGCAGAGTGAGTAGGCCAGCCTGGAGTAGAGTAAGTGAACATGCTCTTCCCTGCTCACACTGCTTGGGCCAGTCAGCAAATGGCAGCCCATTTCTTCTGGGCCCTGGGCAGGGCCTCCCTGTGAGGGCTGACTTGGCAGCAGACTCCGCCTTCCCAGAGCTCATAATGTACCCAGGGAGTTAATCGGATATGTAAAGGACACAAGGACCTTGTGCCCTGAGAAGCTCTGCACACCCAGCAGGACAGTGCTTCAGCCTGGAAGCTCCATGAGGACAGTGGTCCATTGGGCTGACATGCCCTTGGTCTCTAGCACCCAGCCCAACCAGGCCTTGGAACTCTCGGGGCGTGAGTCCTGGCCCAGTCTTCAGAAGGCTGGCCTATGGAGAGGCATCGGAGTCACGTCTGAACTAAACACACTTGGGGCCACCTGGGCTCTAGTCTCAGCCTGGGCTGCTCTCTGCTCATAGGGATTTTCAGATGGCATTCTTTCCACCTGCAGATCTGCCCACTAGCCCTGTGGACCTGGTGATCAACTGCCTGGATTGCCCCGAGAACGCCTTCCTGCGGGATCAGCCCTGGTACAAGGCAGCCGTGGCCTGGGCCAACCAGAACCGGGCACCAGTGCTCAGCATAGACCCTCCTGTGCATGAAGTTGAACAGGGCATCGATGCCAAGTGGTCACTGGCTCTGGGCTTGCCTCTGCCGCTGGGAGAGCACGCAGGCCGCGTCTATTTGTGTGACATTGGCATTCCCCAGCAGGTGTTCCAGGAGGTGGGCATCAACTACCACTCACCCTTTGGCTGCAAGTTTGTCATCCCACTGCACTCTGCCTAGAGGGGCTCAAGGCAGGCTGGACCCTGCAGTCCCCTGCTGCTTCTGACACAACTTGACAACGAACGCCTTAAGGATGTGAAGCTTCATGGACCTTGATGTTAAATTTTTTCGTTTGGGTTTGTTTCTTCTGTGAGAGAACAGATCATATTTAAAACTGACCTGTCACCTGCCCTTAGCCAGGGAAGGCTTTCTCACTGGGTGTGCAGGTAGGTGCCAGGCTGAGTGCACAGTGGCTCCAGGCATCTCTACACTCGGCCCCCTGCATGGCCAGGTGGGGGCTTTGTTTACAGACATAGGCAGCTCTCAGACTGTGTTTTAGGTTTACAGCCACTGGGCCTGGGCAAGGGCCTTGCGGGGTGGGGCAGGTCCTGACTGGGGCCCTATACTTGCTCTTTTTAGAGCTTGTGGCTTTGTCTCCCCTACTCCCCTAGCTGGCAGCCCTTCCTCTGATCATGTAGAACCGGCTGTGCCGCAGCTGTCCACTAGAGGGCAGACTTGCACTCCCCATTCATTTTGAGGACTGTGAGGAGGCCTTCCCTGAGGCCCACAAGTTGATTTGAGGGCTTTTGACCTTTTCTCCTGAGCTAATCCAAGTATTATGCTGGGATTTTTTTCAAGGGTCCTTCCTTCCTCCTGTCCACTCCATCACTCTGAGAGGCAGGGAAGGGGGGGTGGCATCAGGATGGTTTTACTGTATTGGGATTTTATACTGTTTTTCTGTTGTCTTCAGCACAAGTGTAAGGTTATGTTACTGTAGAACCACAGTGCCCATCTTGCCAGCAGTGCCCCCAAAACCCCTTACCCCCTCTAGCTGGGGGCTGAGCCTTCACCTAGTCTGGGGCCAGACCCCTCAGGGTGCAGCTTTAATGTTCAGTATTGGGGAGGCCCCTGGGGGAGCCTGGTGCTGAGCCAGAAGAGGCTCCCTGGTGCTTCTGTCCTAGGCCACCACTCCCCCCCCACCTTGCCTGCACGTACATACCCCTACTCTCTTCTGCCCCCTCTGCCCTTTGCTTGAAATGGTCCTCTGCAGCTGTCATCCCAGAGCAGAGTGCATGTCCCTTCCCTGTGTGGGCTCTACCCCAGCTCTTACAGTGTCTGGGCTTTGAACCCTTTATGGTTGTCCATTCTAGATGAGTAGGCTTGGGGCCAGCACCCTGTCTCAAAGATGCCAAAATGAGGCTAGTTCTAGATGAGCTGGCTAGTGGAGCTCAGCCATAGGAACACACTGCTGCTCAGATCCTAAGGCACTAAGCCCCCAGACTTCACAGGCTTAGGCCCTAGAGGCTGGTGGAACAGGAGCCATGCCCTGGAGTCCCTGGCAGGGGCCCTTGCAAAAGGCTTATACTTTGAAGCCTTTTTCAGGACTTCAGGCTTTCTTCTGCTCTGTGCCCACCCACTCTGATTTAAGGGGGTGAGTGGGAGGGCTCACCAAGGATTGTGGACACAGGGTAGGCCCTAGTACCATGGGTTTCAGGTTGCTTATCACTTTTCTTATAGGAGCATAGCCAGGAGCAGATGAGGCAGGGCAGAGAGGGCTGGTCCCTTCTTTCCTCCCATCCTCCCTCAAATGTTCAATTGTCTCCAGCAGTGGGAGGAGGCCAGAGACTGAGCCTGTGCTGTGTATCCTCCCTGAGCCTCTGCTCACTCTCAGGGCCAAGCAGCTTCCAAGATGGGGCCCTCTGTTTAGCGGAAGGGCCGTAATCTGAGGAACAGTGCTGGATTACAGGCATTTTAGTAAGCAACCATTCAACAGGTTCTGGCTGCCTGTTAATGCAGTTAGGCCCCGATTGGGTACAATGGAAAACAAGCTAGAACCCTGGCCCAGAAGACTCTGCTTGCCCCAGTAAGCCACAGTGGCCCTGGGGGTAAAGGCCTTGTTGAGAGGCCACTGGGAGTTTGTGCCCAAGCCTCTTCCTCTTCTCTCCCCAGGTGGCACTGGAGCCTCTCCTTGCTCTCAGCCTGGGCCTTCCCCAGTGGTATTCAAGATAGGCATGATTCCTCTATCTTCAGCTCTTTTCAGAGGCATCCTGCTCGCAGTGCCCAGTCCCTAAGGGGCCCCAATCGGGTGGTCAAGCCTATCACTAATGCAGCTCTTGGGGAACCAAAAACCAGCACTAAAATAAAGCTGAATGATGGAGTCCTGTGCTCTGTGAATTGCTCTGCATGCTGCAGCGAGGTACTGCCACCCCAGCCCTAGGAGCCTGCCTTGTCTCACGCTTGACAGCCTTCGGTAAACCGTAGTTGTTGGGCATGTACAGCCTGAAGTCCCAGCCAGTGACAGGACTGGAAGGATAGGTAAAACCAGATGCTGCCTGGCTAACTAACTGCAGTGGGCCATTTCCCTCCCTCAGATTCCTTGGAGTGGAGAGGTACAGAGGCCAGCCGGGAAGCAGGTGCATGTCAAGGTGCCTTCTAGGACTGTCCAGCAGGCCTGCTGCCTCACTTCTGGGCCCAGGACACCCCAGCTTCGCTAACCCTTCTGTGCCTGGCCCACTTCACACTTAGCTCTCCACAAACTGAACTGCTAAGAAAGACTTTATTCGTAAGGTAGGGAAGGGAGAAGGCAAGGAGCCTGGAGATGGACACACTGGTACCAGGGGTTACAAACAGTAAGAAACACTTTATTATAACTTTACAACATATAAATAGCTTGGGTCAAATCTGTGCTTTCTGGCTGATGGGCATCACGTCTCCTCCCCTGCAGGCTCCCGCCTTCCTTCACATTGCACTGTTCATTGGGTGGCTCTGGCCCTGGGGCCTGGCGGTAGAGGTTAGAGAAAATGGGGCTGGGCAGCCCAGTCCCGTTCTCCCTCTCCTGGTGCAGTGGCCTGCACCTGTCATCTGCTTGGGTTTCGGCTGGTGTGGAAGGACCGCTCCTCAGGGGTCAGGCCAGCAAAGAAGGGATGCAGCAGGGCCTCCGCCAGTGTGATGCGCTGGGCAGGGTCAAATTCTAACATCCTCCTCATCAGGTCAAACAGCTGCACGTGCTCCAGAGAGTCTTGGAGCATGTAACTCTGCTCAGGGACAGAAGGTGCCTCAGTGTGATGGCAGGGTCCTGGGAAGCCACAGCAGGTCCCCTTTCCTCTAGGAAGCCTTGCTGCACTGGGTCGAGGAGACAGTGATGCCTCCCTGAAGGACTACTTCTGCCCTCCTGGACAATGAGCAGCTCCTTTCCTTTCACGCCTGTGTATAGCGTTTTGCTCTGAACTTGTCAGGCTATTGGGTGTCTTGCTGACTTGGTACCTCTGCCCCCACATGCAAAGTCCTGACAGGTGGGTAGAAATCACCTCTGCAAAATTCACTCGTCCGAGCACCAAATGCAGTTGACAGAGGCTTCCTGGCCATGTCTAGGTCTTCCCTCCCCCTCTTCAGTCCTGCCTAGTTCTTCCCAAAACAGAGAGAGGAGTGGGGGCAGGAAGCAGCAGGGTGTCTGACATCTGGCTCTTCTGGTGTTCCCCAATTATATTCATAGCCACCCTGCGGGGAAGGGGTAGGGCTAAGGGCCCCTTTGGGGCAGTCTCTAAGAAGCCCCATTGCCAGCACCCAGCAGCCTTGGGTGCAGCCTCCCATAGAGCTGGAGCGAGGAGGCAGCCTTTAGCTGCCTGGCCTTTCTTTCTGCTGTATGTCTGCCCAGTGCCTGGGGTCTCCTTGGCATGAGGTGAGCTGGGGGAAGCCAGAAACTGACCTTCAGAGGTTTGCAGTTCTCTTTCACATACCGGCCGTCAGAGCTGTTCTCATCCCAAACCAGGCCCCCTTTGTAGAAATATTTCTGCTTCCTGAAAATGAAGGGAGGGGAACAAATCTTGGGTGGGGGTGGGGAAGACAGTGGCAGCCTAGGGAATGGCAGCAAAGCCAGGCAGGGGGTCCTGGCCTGACCTAGCAGGGCAGTAAAGTCTGGGCAACAGGTTTGCCAGTCCCTCAGAGAGGTGTACGTGGAAGGCTGCTATGAGCCAGCAGGATCCCTGGGATGTCCTGCAAAGACTATCGAGTAGCTTCTTGACCCACAGCCGAGATGGGAAAGACCCCTCGGTCCCCCTGAGGGAGCTACCAGGGCTCCTTACCTGGTACGGTGGATCATGTGTGATGGGATGGGCCCTAGGATTTTCTCCATCATCACCAAATGCTCTCGGTTTTCGTGCGTCTATGGAAGGTCAGGGATAGAGCAAGCAGGGGTCAGTACCAGTCTCGGCCTCCTCAGGGAGGGTAAGGGGCAAAAAAGATGGGCAAGTGCCCTCCCTACCCTTGGGAGATGCAAACCCACCAATGGAATAGCACGCTCAGCCTCTCTGACCTGGTGGCCGTCCACCAGCCTGGGGCAAGGAACAAGGCCAGCCTATTATCTTAGGGTCAGGGTCGGGCTCACACTCCCTGGCACCTCAGGTGGACTCATCCATGACTGCACACCTCTCTCTGTTTACGTTACTCACTCTCCCCAGAACGTGCCCCGCCCCAGCCCATCTCCATGCCCTCACTCATGCTGTGCCCCTTGCCTATAATGCTCACTCCTCTCGCCCCAATCTTCCATCCTTGATGGCCCAGCGCGATTCCCTGAGTGCTCCAGCTACCCTGACATTCCTTCCCCTGAGCATCTACAACCCTCAGGAGTCTGAATCTCACAACATGCTGACTGGTAAGGGTGGAAGGGCTTCCCATACCAGGCCGCTGAGCCTGTCAGAGTAGCAGTGCTCAGGGTAGTGGAGCCATGTTGGGGAGGCCTACCTGGAAAAGTGTGAAGCCCCGGTAGTACTCGAAGAGAATGCAGCCAATGCTCCAGACGTCGCAGGGCTGCGCCCAGCCCAGCTCTGAAAGCCAAGATGGGGAGAGGCTGTGAGATCCAGCCCTGTGTTCCCAGCCTAGAGGTCACAGAACAGCTACCATACCGGCTGGCAGGACTCTTGCCCAAGTCCCAGTAGAAGTCCCTTTCTCGGTAAGGCCAAGTCAGCCACCACAGTGACTCATGACACTGACCCTGGGTGACAGACAGGCACATCAAGGCCTCTGTTCATACCCTCCCAACAACTGCACACTTTATTGGGGCTGGGGGCTATACAGTCACTCACCAAGGATCACCTCAGGCGGGCGATAGTGACGGGTGGCCACAATGGTTGTGTGATGCTCATGGTCAAAAGTGGCACTGCCAAAGTCAGCCACTCGGATGCTGGTGTTCTTCACCGACTTCTCCTCACAGCTCTGAAAAGCAAGGCAAGTGAGCCAGGTCAGGAGTCTGTCCCAGTGGGTAACCCACCCCTGGAGCAGGGCCTTGTCCTCTCCCCCACCAATACCTTGTGCTCATTGTAGAGAGTTTCAAATTCGGAATTCACAAAGAGGATGTTCTCTGGCTTCAAGTCTGTGTGGGTCAGTTGGTTCTCGTGTAGAACTGGGGAAGTGGGGAAGAGGAGCAAGGCAGACACTGAGAACCTGGGCTTCCCCTCTGGCCCTCCTGCCAGCTCTAGGCCAGATCCCTGCTGCCAAAGTCAGCCTGCCAGAGCCCCTCACACCCCTAACAGCAGGGGGCCAAGGAAGCAGACTGAACTCTGCCTGTGCTTGGGGCCTTGAAGGGTTCTGACACTTTAGAAGAGGGGGTGAAGGGGACTTTTTCCATTCCATTTTTCCCTCCCCTGCAGGGGCCAGGCCTCCTGAGCCTGTCTCCCAGCAAAGCTGCAGCATCAACCTTGAGATGGTTCTCTCTCCCCAGCACCAACTACATAATTTGTGGGGCTCCTTATTCAAAAACGATTAAGAAGGTCAAGATGGTGGCAACAGAGCATTAAACCAAGCACAGGGCCACCCATGAAGCACAACCCGTGAAGCTGGCCCTGCCTTGCTTCATCCTTAGCCCTGAGCAGGGAAGTCTGCCTTTTCCCTCCAGCCCCTGTCCCACTGACGGTGGTGCCCTGCCATTTACCACTTCGGGCTTCAGGCTCCCATCTGGCACTCAAGACCCTCACCACAGTGTGGCCCACTTCTCCCTAACATGGGCCCTCTCTTCACCAGTGAGTTTCAGCACATGCCAGGCTCTGGGCTGTCACTCAGCTGCCCACCTTGCTTGAATGCTCTTCCCTGACCATGTATGCACACCCTGCACAGTCCAGCTCTAGGTCTATCTACCTCCTCTCCAAGAAGCCTTTCTGTCCTGCTCCAACCACTGCAAATCCTGCAGTGCTGAGCACAGGCACCACCAAATATGCTCTTAAAGGCTGGCAGACAGATGAGAAGTGATGATTAGACAGAGGGTGTCTGTGTGGGCAGGACCTTCGACCTTTTCCTCCTATGCAGGAAGGTGGGAGTGGGGTTGGCAGCGGGGCTAAGTCTAGAGCAGCTCTTTCCTTTTTTCTTCCTGAGTGCCTGGGGGCAGAGGGTGGCTCAGGAGGCCTCTGGAGGGAACTACAACCTCTCCATCACCGATTCCTACCTGAAGGCCTTTCAGCCAAAGGGGCCCTTGTGTGTCTCAGGCCCAGCAGAATGGTAAGCAATGTGCTGGAGGGAATTGGGGAGAGCGAGACTACCAGGTGACTTTGCTGCAGGTACGTGGCCGCCCACTGCTCCATCTAAGAGTGGACACTTACATCTAAGGGCATGGCAGAGCTGGTATGCCATGTGCCGGACATGTGGTAGGGGGTAAGGCTGGAAGTTATTCTCCTTCAGGAACTCAAAGGTGTTCTTGCCCAGGAGCTCAAAGGCGATGCACATGTGACCATGGAAGTTGAACCAGTCAGACATCAAGACGCACAGGCTGGGGGAGAAGGATGGGTGGGACTCAGGCTCTGCGCTGTGGGGGCTGGCTGCCCCACCCCCTCCCTCAGATGAAACCAGTCCCCACTCCCTCCCAGGCCACTGGGTCGCACACCAGGATGCAGATACACGTGAAGAAAGAGAACCAGTTAACAGAGCAAGAGCACATCTCCGCACCAGCTGTCACAGAGCAGCTCGGAGCAAGGACTGAACTTCCTGCTGGGAGGAGCGGGGGTCATTCTGCTCTGAGGTCTCCTGCCTCACCTGTTTACGATATGGCATGGTCCTGGCATCTCAGGGAAAGAGAAGGAATAATGCCAGTACACTCCACAGGACTAGCACTGCTTTTTTCAACTCCCTCAGCTGAGCTTCCTGAGGGTCTGCGGGGCTCAGCACCGTGCTTGC